CTTCACCCCGACCCCGAAGATGACTACTCTTCGGACACTGCTACACGTAGCAGCACAGCGTGACTATGAGTTACACTCGCTTGACTTCTCCACAGCGTTTCTCCACGGCAGCCTACACGAGCAGGTCTACCTACACCGACCGCAGGGCTTCACCGGTACCTTCACTCGTGGGACCCAGTTGCTCCTCTGGCGCCTGGTCTACGGCCTGCGACAGGCGCCCCGTAAGTGGCACGACAAGCTGCGTGCCATGCTAGCTGACCTGCAGTTCTTTCCGTCCTTTGCAGACCCCTCGCTCTTTGTTCGTGCTGGCCAGACTCCGTTTTACATCGTTGTCTACGTAAACGAACTGGTCTTCGCTACTGCAGACAGAGACGCACTGGCCTCTGTCAAGGCCGAGCTGCTGAGGCGACACACCTACACTCACCTAGGAGAGCTGCGCAGCCACCGTGGCCTGCAGATCTCCAGGGACAGAGTAGCGCGCACCATCACTCTCGCACAGTCACACTTTGTACGCGAGGTCCTTCAGAGGTTCGGTCTTCAGTTCTCCTCCACACAGCCCACACCTCTGCCTCTAGATCACAGGCTCTCAGCTCCAGTTCCTGAGGAGTCACTTTAGCCAAGTTGTCCTTACGCAGTGGTGGGTTGCCTTATATACTTCATGACTTGCACCCGTCCAGATACCGCATACCCTCTCAGCATCCTGGCTCGCTTTGTGGCCACAGGCAGACACCGACCACAGCACTGGTCGGCCGCTAAGAGGGTTTTTCGTTATCTAGCAAGTACATCAGGCATTGGGTTCGCGCTGGGAGGACAGGGCCAGTGGTCCTTACTGTGCACACAAAAGCTTCGTGGGCAGACGACACTGAGACCCTCAGTTCCTCACAGGTCTACTGCTTTAGCCTTGGTTCAGGTGCCATCTCGTGGAGGTCCACTCGCTCCTCGTCAGTTGCCCAGTCTAGCTGTGAGGCTGAGATCTATGCAGGTGCCATGGTGGCACAGGAGCTCCGCTGGCTGACCTTCTTGCTCACCGACTTAGGTGCGCAGCCTAGCTCTGCCGCAGTTTTGTACGCTGACAACAAGGCCATGATCCCTTTGTCAGGAGCCTCGACTTGAAGGCAGAGCGAAGCACATCCAGCTGCGGTACTTCCTCTTGCGCGACCTACAGCAGCGTCTCCAGGCCCCCGTAGTACATTTGGCCTCCGGTGCCAACACAGCTGATATCTTTACTACGGCGCTTGCACCTAGAGATCATCAGCGGCAGTGTTTGCAGCTTGGTCTAGTTCCTGTAGACTCTCACTTGCTAGGACCTTGATTGTGTACTCCTCTTATATATATCTTTCAGAGTGGCCTTGTGGCTTCTCTTCCAGTGGCCGGAGTAGTAGTGCCGCCCTGGTTGGCTTTTGTCTTGTTTGTACTCTTGCTGACTGGTCTTCGGACCCTTGTCTAAGAGGTCGGACTAGTAGTGCCACCCTGAGTTGTGTGTTTCTTGCTCAGCACTACCCCTTATCTAGCCTAGGAGGTGTGTCAACTTATACATACATTTGCATGTAGAAGCTATTGCTAGAATAGGTGTGTGTTCTTAGAGAGTACAACCCAAACCCTATATCTCACGTGCTCTCCCTTATTGCAAATTATTATAGTATTCTAATAGGCCACGCACCGGTTTAGGCGCCAGCTATCATGTCAGCACGCCAGCCATTGCGCCAGCACGGGCGCCTTGCTGCACACCACCCCCCACCCCCCTCTGCGTCTCCTCTTTCTCCAGCTAAATGTGTTGACATAATACCCGGTCGTCGCCGGGCCGTGCCACGACACTGGGTGCCGCGAGCTTCGCGGTCGCCGCCCCCGTCGTTGAAGCCGCCGCTGATGTCGTCGCCGTAGAAGCCGCCGTTGCTGCCACCCGCCGCCGCTTCGCACAAGGGGTCGAAGCCACACTTGCTTCAGGGCATGGGGGTGCACGAGCTTGGGGGTGTTGCGGGTGTTGGGTGGGCTTACGACTACCAAGCCTAGGGGGTGTGCCAGATTATATATACATACCATATATTTTGGAGGGAACGAGACTAGAGTCACGTACAGCTCGCTCGCCATTGCTGGCTAATGCTGGCAATCTACCAAGCTGTCTTCACTCAGGCACCTCGTTCTCTCGCTCACAGAGCTGTAGCTTACAGCGACTTGTACGCTGATATCCTCGTCTGGATTTATGGCACCTATGTCGTGGGATCCTGGCGTGAATTCACGACAGTAGAAACCAACTTAGCTCTACGCTGGGGCGCAATGCCTCCAGTGACCAAGAGTGGGCTTGCGGCCATTATCAAGGGCCATAACCCATACTCACAGACGCTTGACCGATGGGTTTATGCCGCACCAGCGCCTCCCGCTCCTCCCGCACCTCCTGCGCCGCCAGCGCCACCTGCCCCGCCAGCGCCGCCAGCGCCTCCCAGCCTTCCTTTGGTCTTCGACGAGGGCAATGCCGAGGATGCGACGGGCATGGGTGCTGCCGATAACTCCAGTGAAGCTGAAAACATGTCTGACGACGGCGAGCCCCAGATTCCTATCCCCTCTTACCCGACAGGACGCAGGTCGCGCAAGGACTGGGAGGTTAACCACGACGCATCCCCCCCCTCGCCAAGGTCCCGCGCCTTGAAAGGTCTTCGGCGCGCGAGAACCGTGAAGGAGAAGCTGGCGTGGTTGGATTACATGGATGCTAACCAGCTCTCTACTCGTGCCACCGCTAAAAAGGCGGGTGTCCAGCCTGTTTGCATGCGTAGGTGGATCAAGGACCGCCTGCGTCTCGAGAAAGCTGCGACCTGCCGTAAGCGGCTCCATGGTGGCAGGCGACAGTCGCTGTACGCAGACATGGAAATTTGGGTATAAAGGAAGCTGCTACATTACTGGACCCACGGGCTTCCCGTGTCGGTCAACCTCATCTGTCGCTAGAGCCTGAACTACATGGCCAAGAACCACCCATCAGTCGATTGGAAGGCGTCTTCTCGGTGGTCTCAGCGCATGCGTGCACGGTGGGGTCTGTCAGTAAGGGTAAAGACTAAGATTGGCCAATGCCTGGCCGACGGTGAGTTCACCACTCGAATTCGACTTCTCTCATCGGTTTAATGTTGCACATGTTTTCCATGCTGCTACTGCATCTTTTGCTTCTGTCCTTGTGCAACAGCCTGATGCTTACTCGTCTTCCGTCCTTCCTCGTGCCTCCCATGCTTGGTAGATATCAAGCCGAAGGCGCATAGTTTCTAGCATTTCTGCCGCAAGCAGATATTCAACAAGGCCATCCCCAACACCCTCATGATCAACAGTGACCAGACAGCGTTATTCCTGGAAATGCCAACCGAGCGCACGGTCGAGCACAGGGATATCAAAACCGTGCACGTCAGGACCGCCGGTTATGAAAAAGAGCGCGTAACCGTCATGCTGGTGTGCACGGCTGCGGGCCAGAAGCTGCCCGCGTACGTTGTCTTCAAGCGTGTCCACCCCGCCTTCCATCACAGTCCCACTGAGTAAGTTGACGGGCTTTTTGTTACCATGCGGGGTCGACTTCTTGTTGATTTCATGACAACGCCATGCGTCCTAATTTTACCGTCGTTTTTCTTGTCTTCACAAATGTCATCATCCGTGTGCAGCCGAGAGGCTGGATGGACGAGCATATGGTGCAAGACTGGATAACCCGAGTCCTTGCACCGCATGTCGCTCCCCAGCCAGGGAGGCCTCGCCCCGCCAGCCTGGTCGTGCTCGACTCGTTTCGGGGGCAATTGACGGAGGGAATCAAGCAGACTATGCGTCTGTTCAAGATGACTCCCGCCATCATTCCCGCCGGGTGCACCTCGGTTCTACAGCCTCTCGATGCGTGTGTCTTCAGGTCATTCAAAGCTTCCGTGCGGGCAGAGTATGAAGATTGGTTCGCCACTGTCGGCATTAACACTTTCACCAGAGCCGGTGAGAATGCGCAGATCCATATGCTTACAGTCAAGCACCACTCATGAGATGCTTACACTTGATCTGTTTACAACCAGTACTAACGCACTCCTCTTTACTCCCCTCCCCCGGACTGTAGGGAACCTGAAGACGCCTCCCCCCGAGGAGGTTATTCGCTGGGTGGGAAGATCTTGGGCAAAGGTGCCAGTGGAGCTTATCCAGAAAGCGTTCAAAGTCACCGGCATCTCCAACGCACTGGATGGCTCGGAGGACCATATGATCCTCCGCCATCTCAAGGAACAGGCTCCTGACGAAGTCGACGTCAACGACGATGTCGGCGCGGCGGGGGCGGATGGCGACAACACCGCCGTCCCGCAGAACACTGACGAGGATGAAGACGATGCTGCCGACGATGACGATGGTGGTGCAAACGACGACGACGAGCCGTTGCCAGAACCTGCGGTGGCTGAAGACATTTTGGGCTGCGACCCGTTTGAAGACTTGGCGGAAGAGCCACCAGCGTCAGCCGCTAAACCAGAGCCTGCTGCTGACGCATTCGAGCCACTGCCTCGCATGACCCTGGCACAACGCACCTCTGCCATGGAGGAAGATTATGGCGACTCGGCTGCTGAAGATACTGACGGCGACCAGGAGGATGAAGAGCCAGAGCCTGTAACGTGCGGCAAGTACGAGTGGGCGTGGAAGATGCTGTAGGCGTAGAGGGCATTCCGACAGTCTTATGTAGGCGTATAGAGCAATAATCTCGTATTTTAGGTGCTGACTGGTTTCCCTAACTATGTGCGTCATGTACCAGTAGGAAGTTGTAATTGTAGTGCACAATTGTAGGCTTGAATTCATGTAAAAAACCAAGTAGGGGGGTCCAAACCCATCTACATCCTCTAGGGAGGGTCTTGTTAGTCGATGACCATAATAAAAGACCTACCTGCCAAAAGCACCCTATGGGTCTTCAATAAAAACCGGTCTTATATCCGGGCGTTTACGGTATATATATGTATATTTGTGTAGGCTTGGTAGATGTGCTCCTTTACAGCGAATCTCCTCTTCAAATCAAATCACAATCTGTAAATTTTTTGTTACAAAAAAAATATTCATGTATATGCGTTTGATATGGCAGGTTCTTACTACTACAAAGGCAACCCATGGCTTTCTGTCCCACACAAATGGCAAGACGTTTCTGCCTGATGCTGATTGTTAGAGAAACGCTTAGAGATGTGAACATGCCAACCAACCCAAAACAAACCACTGAACTGACCATTTCAGCGTGGGACCTGCAATTACCCGTTGAGGTGCTCATGTCATGATCAAAGGCAGCAACCTCGCCTGGCTGCAGTGATGGCACTGATTGCTTCACATCGACTGATGCTCACGCAGCAAGCGATCCACGGCTATGACTCTTCGCCTCCCTGGCTCTGCCCTGCCTGTTGGCCCTGCCCCTGTGTCTCCTCCTGCTGTGCCAGCGCTGCTGCCTCCCGCCTCATCACCTCCTTGAGCGCCGTGCAGAAGAAGGGCCTCACCAGGTTGGCCTCCATCGCACTCAGATTCACAAGCTGGTGGGACCAACAACCCACAGGGCGTTGCAGCACAGAAAGGTGAAAGGTTGAGTGCATGGCGGAGGACAGTTGGGTAGACGAGCACACTCATACAGCAGCAGAACAGACGTCACACGTGACAGCCGACAATGACACGTGCTCCCCTACAGTACCTTGACAGCGTTGGTGGCAGATCCGAGTTTCTTGAGGCCCTGGTGGATCTTATTGAAGCGCACGTCTCGAATGTCCTGCAGCAGTGCACGCAGCTGAACCACGCGCACACGAGAGGGGGGACAACAGGTGTCGTGGAGCATGCTGGGTCAAGGGACGGAGCTAATGACAACAAGACACATGCGGGGTGGTGATGATAGAAGAGGGGTGCCAAATGCGGGACGAAAAGGTTTTAGAAAGGAAGTGTCACCTTGTAAGTGTCTGGGATGTCAACACCGTGTCTGTAGACGCATATGAAGAGGGAGAGGCGGGGGAGTGGAGGCAGTGGGTTTGTGTGAGGTTGGTGGAGTGGCTGCTGATGGCAGAGCAGGTCTACTACGGGATAAGAAGGTTGGCCACGCAAGATGGCTCAGCTGGGCGCTGGAGCAACGGGGGGTTGTGGAGTGGAAGGCGTTACTTCTCTGCTGAGAAGAGCAGTTGCGACATCTCAATGAAATGAAATGGCATTGGCTGGAAGCCCTCGTTCTCCCTCTCCGCCTCCAAAATTTCTGTCAATCGATCTGCAGAAATACAGGAGAAACAGCTATTCTTGTTCGAATCCAGTCACATCATGCACAGGAAAACGCCCACAAGTGGAGACAACAGCCAGCAACTGCAACATGCCCACATAGTCAAGGCAGCAGCGCAGTATGTTGTACGGGACGAGGGCGTGAGTCACCTGCTGCAAGCCAGGGAGGCGGCTGGATGGAGCACTTGGCGCGCTTCTTGAGAGCGATGGCCAGCCACAGTGGCACCTGCAGGGGAATCTGCGGCCTGAACGGCCCAATGTCGCCCTGGACACAGGAGAATGCATGGCAGGAGAATGCATGGCAGGAGAATATATGGCAGGAGAATGCATGGCAGGAGAATATATGGCAGGAGAATCATAAGACGACTTAAGAGAGGAGCATGACACGAGATGTTGAACAAGAAGATGGATGTTGGAAAGCTCATGTGATGTGAACCATGCGGAGATTTCTCCTCTGTGTACGAGCACTAGTATGCTGCTACATGCGCGGCGTGGTGGTAGCGCCACTCACGGCGTGAAGGTGCAGCGCGTCGGATCGGAAGTTGGGCACGATGGACACCGGCTCGTTCTCCGCTATGAACTCGATCTGACGCACACAGGGCACAGCAGGAAAAGACGCAGAAAATAGACGATGAAGAGATGGAGGGAAGGAGAATGAAAGGGAGAGGAACGACGATTCCAGACATCATCTTCATTTGCCTTCCCTCCTCTCCCTCGAGATTCTCACTTTCCAGCTCGTTCCATTTCCTCCTCGCCACCGCCGCCTTACCTCTGATTCGAGGAACACCGCGCCTTTGCTGTCACCAGACCCCCCCGCCATTCTTAACGGCCCCGTGCCGCAGCGGCCCAGTAGCACAAGTAGCCTACCCTCCAGAAGCAGGTCGAAACGGAACCAGTTGACTGCCCAGAGCATAAGAAAGGATCCAAAAGAAAGAAACGCTTGCCGCCCACAGGAGCTTCTGTGTTTTGCTCGAGCGGATTGTGGAGGACAGAGCTCTCACTAAGGAATTGAAGACCACATTTTTTACCAAGTTTACAGCCTAACAACACTAACATTACTCTGATCCGCATATGCACTGACACCACCTACACAGCTACCGTAAAGCACGCGTCAAATAAGGCCAAGATTAAAAAACAGTGAATCTTGGTCTTCTAACGAGCCAACAAAAGTTGACCAGGTTACCCAATAAACGAGCGACAGGTGTGAAAGGAACAAAGAAGCAAGGAAGGAACCAATAGGCCAAGCCCGAACCCACACCGGGGTGTGACAGTGGACGGCCCGACCCACTCGAAGCAGACATCAAGACACAAAGGGTCCCATGGTCATTTGGGACTCTTGGCCATGGCGGACGGAAGCCAATAGTCATCGTTCTTAAAGAGAGTACGACTAGCGTGACTCAGCGACACAGCAGAAAGCGCGACGCAAATTAGGGTAAATGCAGAGAGTGAGGAACGTGTGGCCAGTCCAGAGAGGCGGACAGGGCTGCTGGAGTAGACAACACAGGTTCACCGGGTGCCACGCTAAGCAGGCCGCAGAGGTGTGAGCGGGCCTTGCCGACCTCCACCGTATGCGCAGGCTTAGACAATCCCCACACGCCGCCCATGATTAGCTGTAACCCGATAGCAGGTTTCCCGCAATCGGCACCACCTCCCCTAACCCAGATTCCACAGGACAGAACATAACCGTCGCCCCTACCTAGCTCTTCCCATCGCCTCTTCTCACCTCTTCCCGTTGCCTTATCCCACGCCTCCTCCCGTCAACCCAACCTGTTTCTACCTGCCGTAGGGCACTTCATCTCCCGTCGCGCACTAACCCTTCCCCTCCCCCCGCCTATCCCCAAAAATCTCGAAACTCTTCTGGTACTGCCGCCTAACACCGGGTTTTCATACCCATGGTGATTCCCAGCCTGCCGCCAACCCTGTTTTCCCCACTCCTGTTTCCTCTCTCCTCCGCTCCGTTTCCCCCTCTGTCCCCCTTCCCTTCCGCTCCGTTTCCCCCTCTCCTCTCCGGTTTCCCTCTCCCGCGCGCTCCGGGTCCCCCTCCCCTGTTATCCGTCTCCTCCTCTGTTCCCTTTCCGTTCCTCCCCGCTTTCCCCTCTCTTCATCTCCGTGGCCCAATCTCCTCCCATCCGTTCCCCCCTCCCCTCTTCTCCGTTTTCCCCCTCCTCCCCATCGTATCCCCCTCTCCTCCTCTCCGTTCCAGGCATGGGGCGATGGGAGGGCGAAACGGATGGCACAACAGGAGGATGCGGGCGACATGGGAGAGGGCAACCGAGGGCATTGCAGGGGGGACCAGGCGAATGGGAGGGGGCTCACCTTCGGTTAAAAAAATACGGCAGAAAAATATGACCGTATTTATTTAACCAAGCCCAAAAACATCATGTCAACCGATTTTTTGCGATTATAGGATCAAATCATTCAGTACATCATACGGGAAATTTCTCAAAAATACGACCGTATTTTGAACCTTAGAGCGCGCATGGCGCTAAACACACAGCGAACAAAATAAGGAACAAACCTGGCAAGAGAAAGTGCCGGATACAAGCCCGGGCAGAAGCGCATGAGAACTCACTCCCGCGGGAGGCGCCACTACCGCCAGCCAACGTTGAACACGCCTCGCTAGGACGCAAGGCTGCAATCAAAGCGGGGCGAAACACGCATGAAGGGGAAACTGAGAAGAGGGGAGAGAATAGACGCTGATGTGGAAGCAGAAAATGCGCCACTCCCTAACGTGGCGCCTTGCCCCCCTCCCTTCCTCAGCTCAGCCTTCACTCCCTCTCCCTCCCTGCTCTTACGCCTCACTTCCTCTCCCTCCCTATTCCCACGCCTCACTCACTCCCCCTCCCTCCCTGTCTCGGTTCCGCTTTCACTCCCTCCATCCCTAGCCTCACGCCTCGCTCACACCCCCTCCCTATTCCCTCGCCTGACCCATAGTCCCTCCCTGCCTCGGTTGAGCATTCACTGCCTCTCCTACCCTAGACGCCTCACTCACTCTCCCTCCCTATTCGCACGCCTCACTCCCTCCCTGCCTCGGTTCAGCCTCACTCGCTCTCGCTCCTTACCCTCACGCCTCACTCCCTCTCCCTCCCTACTCCCACCAACTCCTCAATCACTCTCCCGCTCTCCGTCTCGACTCTCACGACAGACTCACTCCCTAAAGCGGCGCCACTCTCCCTCCCTGCTCTCACGCCTCACGCACTCCGTAAAGGTCTTCCTCTCCCCCTACCTGCCGCCACGCCTCATTTCCTTCTTGAGAGGACGTTTCTCCTCCCCCCCCCCCTCCCTGCTGCACGTCTCACGAACGACGCAAGCAGCGGGAAGCGGGAAGCAGGGGAGTGAGGGAGGAAGCGGGTAGCGAGAAGCAGCAGGGAGGGAGAAGCCGCGGGAAGCGGCTGGAAGCAGGAGCAGCGGGAGGCGGGAAGCAGCGGTGAGCGGGAGCGGGGGCGCGTCGCGGGTGGGGGGGCGCAGGTGGCGGGAAGAGGCGCTGGGAAGCTGCGGAAAGCGAGAACCAGCGGGTTGCTTGGAGCGCGCGACGCAGCGGGGAGCGGCGGGAAGCAGCGTGACTCGAGACGCAGCGGGAAGCGGCGAGCACGAAGCGAGACGCAGTGGGAAGCGGGGAGCGGAAGAGGCAAGCGAGCAGCGGGCCGGGGGGAGGGGAAGCGGGAAACAGCGGGAAGCGGGAAGCAGAGGAAAGCGGAAAGCGGGACGCGGGAATCGGGAAGCAAAGCCGGGCGGAAAGCGCGGCGGGGAGCAGCGGGAGCGGGAGGCGTGACGCGGAACTGCGAAAAGGGAAGCGGGAAGCTCGGATGGCGGCTGGTTAGGATACACCTAGAACTAACACAACTTGGCTATGGCTTATGGTTGTGTCTAGATTATCTACGGAATCAAACATAAAGTCCCAATTTTTAAGCCCCTGTTTGTCGTAGCTCCTTCCCATTCGGCTTGTGTGAGGAATTACACTTCCTTACCGGGGTTCTCTACAAACGCCACACGCGATTTGTTGGCGTCCGCAGCTTCGGCCCTAAGATCTCACGCCAAACCACGCCTGAGCTACATACCGGTACTAGGGGCCAAGCCTGTTTCCGAGGCACCCCGAACCCATATCCCCGGAGAATGACACCTGTAGCGCTAATTGTTATGATATAGGAAGTGTCAACGAAATATAACGTGAAAATACAACGTCGCTATTGCAATGAAGGCACGAGGTTATACAGAGATTGGCGTGCTAGGGCGATAACCTCGGGACGCGGGTAGGTTCGGCAATGTGGCGACAGTGCCGGAAGCGGCGCAGGAAAGGATTAGGCCGACAAATGAGGCCGAATGTGATGAGTCGTAGAGTTATGGTGTACGCGGTAACGTACGACTCAGTAAGGAATGGAGATTCCTTGCCCCGGTGGCCCTGGGGGTGGTACTAGTGCTCGGGGGGTTCCGGGCTCTGGGGGTGTTCCTTCTGGGGGTGCCGGAGTGGAGTGTCCCGGAGGTAGCCGAGGAGCAGCTTGCGGTCCCGGTGCTGGTGTTGCTGCCGCCGCAGCAGCAGTCCCCGCCGGTGTCAGCCCTTCGCCTGCTCGGCCTTCCGTCCCCTGACCCTACGTCCGTGTGTCAGGGCCCTGTGTTCCCTCCTCCGGACTCGTCCCCGGCTCGCCTTCCCCCTCGCTCCCCCCTTGTGTCCCCTCCTCTGTCTCCTGACCCGACGCCTCCGTCTCACGTCTGGTCCCGCCGTCCCTCCCGCGCTCGTCCTGTCTCCCCTGTCACGCGCTCTATGTTGCTCCGTTCCCACGCGTCTCGTCCTCCCCTTTTACCGTCGCCTCCTCCGTCCTCTCTTACCGTTGCGCCTCCTCCTCTGTCTGACTACCTTCGTGCCGCTCGTCCTCTTGTTCCTCGGGTCCTCGCCTCTCTCGTTACCGACCCGTCTGTTTCGGTCTCGTGTCTTGACGCTCTTGTCGCTGCGGTCGCTGACTTCGCCTCTACCCACCGCCTTGACTACGCCACCGCTCTGGTCTCTGACCCTGCCTGTCCTCCGTCTGTCGGGGGTGCTCCTACCCTCGGCAGTGACGCCCTGGAGGACCGCCATTTCGAGCTTGCTTTCCTGTCCGAGGCTGCTCCCCATCTCTGTTCCATGCTGCTAGTCCCTGAGGATGACCCAGACGCTTTCGACATCCCGACCCCTCGCACTTACGCTGAGGCGACCTCGGGACCCTGGGCCTTGCAGTGGATAGCTGCCATGGAGCAGGCGATGGCATCTTGGAGATCCACCGGCACCTTCGTCGACGTAGTTCCCCCGCCTGGGGTGAACGTAGTCGATGGCCGCTGGCTCTTCATGGTGAAGCGCCCTCCTGGAGAGCCGCCTGTGTTCAAGGCGCGCTACGTGGCTAGAGGCTTCAGTCAGCGTGAGGGCGTGGACTTATTCCAGACCTTCGCTCCGACCCCGAAGATGACTACTCTTCAGGTTCTGTTACACCTAGCTGCTCAGCGTGACTACGAGCTTCACTCCCTCGACTTCTCCACTGCCTTCCTTCAGGGCAGCCTACACAAGCAGGTCTACCTGCGTCGCCCTCAGGGCTTCACTGGCACCTCCCCTCCTGGGACCCAGTGGCTCCTGCGGCGTCCCGTCTACGGCCTACGGCAGGCTCCCCGTGAGTGGCACGACACGCTACGTGCTACCCTTGCTGACCTGCAGTTCTTTCCGTCTTCCGCAGACCCCTCACTCTTTGTTCGTGCTGGCCAGACTCCGTTCTACATCCTTGCTTACGTGGACGATCTGGTCTTTGCCACGGCACACAGGGACGCAGTGGCCTCCGTGAAGGCAGAGCTGCTGAAGAGACACACTTGCACTGACCTTGGAGAACTGCACCGTTACCTTGGCTTGCAGATCTCCGAGCAGCGCGCACCATCACCTTGACTCAGTCACACTTGGTGCGCCAGGTCCTTCAGAGGTTCGGCCTTCAGTTCTCCTCCGCACAGCCCACCCCTCTGCCTGTAGACCACAGACTCTCCGCTCCAGTTCCTGAGGAGTCAGTAGAGCCCAGTGGCCCTTACGTAGAGCTGGTGGGTTGCCTCATGTACCTGATGACTTGCACTCGCCCAGAGCTCGCATACCTTCTCAGCATCCTGGCTCGCTTTGTGGCCACAGGCAGACACCGACTGCTGCACTGGTCTGCCGCTAAGAGGGTTTTGCGTTATCTTGCAAGTACATTGGGCATGGGGTTAGTGCTAGGAGGATGCAGGTCAGTGGTCCTTACAGAACACACAGACGCTTCTTGGGCAGACGACGCCGAGACACTCAGGTCTTCCTAGGGCTACTGCTTCAGCCTTGGTTCAGGTGCCGTCTCATGGAGAGCTACCCGCTCCTCGTCTGTTGCCCAGTCTAGCTGTGAGGCCGAGATCTACGCTGGTGCCATGGCGGCATAGGAGCTCCGCTGGCTGACCTTCTTGCTCACTGACTTAGGTGAGCGGCCTAGCTCTGCCCCGGTCCTGTACGCTGACAACAGGGCCATGATCCTTCTGTGTCAGGAGCCTCGACTCGAGGGCAGAGCGAAGCATGTCCAGCTGCGGTACTTCCTCCTGCGTGAGCTACAGCAGCGCCGCCAGGCACGCGTAGTACACTTGGCCTCCGGTGCCAACACAGCTGATATATTTACGAAGGCGCTTGCGCCTAAAGATCATCAGCGGCACTGTGTACAGCTCGGTCTAGTTCCTGTAGCCTCTCACTTGCTAGGGCCTTGACTTTGAACTGTCCTATATATCTATATGTACTCAAACTGGACTTGTGTCCTCTCCCAGTAGCTGGACTAGTAGTGCCGCCCTGGTCTTGATGTTGCCTTACGTGTACTCCTTCTGACTGGTCTTTTGGACCCTTGTCTCAGTGGCTGGACTAGTAGTGCTGCCCTGAGCTGCTTGTTCAGGACCTGCCCCTATGCAGTCTAGGGGGTGTGTCAAACATGTGTATCTGTTATGTTTGCATAGACTGTATAGGGTCACCTCTTAGAGGGTACAACACTTAGGCATATTCACTTGTACTCTCTCACTACTCTATCATTACTCTGTTCTAAGACCTTACACTACCCCCCCCCCTCCTAAACGAGGCTGCGGGCATCGGAAACATTCTGACGCTGATAATACGCTGTTAGAATCGGGTGTGATTCTATGTCAGCGAGAGGCACCCAACTGTCATCCTTAAACGTTCGATCGCGCCATCTGATGAGAAAATCCACCATTCGACAGTTTTGCTGCGTTGTAACGCGATGGCCGAGAATCTTCAAGGGCTCGGAGGTCGGTTCTTGCAGGGGCGTCAGCTGCGGTACGATGCGTTGACATGCAAAATCCGATGAACTAGGGACGTAGGATCATAGTAGGCTGACGTGGAATGCCGGGTAGTGACGCCAATCTGCCGGAAGTTGAAGGTGAGCGGTAACAGGTGCCACCATATTGGTCACTTGAAAGGGGCCACAGAATCAGAGTCGGAGATTTCTCGGGATCGGCAGACGCAAATTGCAAGTGTCGAGTAGTACGAGATCGCCCACTTTGTAAGTGACATCTCGTCGATGATGGTCGGCTTGTCGGCTTGCGATCAGGTTGGCTTTCCGGATTGCCTCAGCTGTTTTTTCTCGGGCTGCGAGGATGTCTTCAGCAAATCGCTGGGACCAGGGCACAGGTTTCTCGATGTTTGGTATAGAGGGTTCCCACGGGGTCTTGTCCGTAATTGAGGAAAAATGGGGATTGGTGGGTTGTGGCAGAAGGCGCGTTGTTATACACAAATTACAGCAGCGGAAGGGATTTCTCCGATGTCTGTGGGTCAGTGCAGGTAGTCCGAATGAGTTGCTCCATAGTTTGGTTGACTCGTTCGGTCTGCTCGTCGGTCTATGGGTGGTAGGCGGAAGAAACCTGTAGTTTGGTGCCGAATTGGTCCCACAGGTGGCGCCAAAAATTCGATGTGAATTTCGGGTCTCGGTATGAAATAATGGCGGTGGGCAGTCCGTGCAGTCTGATGACGTTGGCGATGAACAATTGGGCAGTTTGCTCAGCCGTAATTTTCTGTTGGCAGGCAATGAAGTGCGCCATTTTCGTGAGTCGGTCAACGACCACGAGGATGGCACCGTTTCCGCTGAGACTGGCCGGCGGTCCTGTCACGTAGTCCATCGTCACGTGTTGCCAGGGTCTCTCGGGCGGATCCAACGGCTGTAGGAGTCCGGCTGCTCGCTGATGGGATGCTTTCATGATCTAGCAGGCGGTGCAGGAGGACACGTACTTGCGCACGTCGTCGGCCGTGTTCGGCCAGTAATAATTACGCTGCAAAGTCTTCATAATTTTGTCGACTTCGAAATGGCCGGAGGTAGGGTTGTCGTGGGATTTCTGGATTAGAAGGGTATGAATTAAATCATAGCCGGAAACCCAGATGCGGGAAGTGTTGCGCTTACTAAAATATTGTCCGGTAGCAGTGGTATACTGTTGGTGAATAGCGGAGCGAAAGAAGGGGTCGATCTTGGAGCCATGGGTAAATAGTCCGGTAAGGAGTGGGCTGGTCTGGACGACTTGTATGGCGGCTGTATGGGCAGTGGGTCGGGTCAAGGCATCGGCAATGTTGTTGGCGCCCCGTTTGTAGGTGATGGTGTAGTGGAAGTTTGACTCGAGCAAATCGAGCCATCGGATTTGTCGCGGGCTGAGATTCGGCTGGGCTCGCAGGTACTGGAGGGATTTGTGGTCGGTTCGCAAAGTGACGTCAGCGCCGGTCAGGTAGCACCGCCAGGTCTTGAACGCGTGGACGATCGCCAACATTTCCTTGTCGTGTACCGTGTAATTTTTCTCTACGCCCTGCAGCTTCCGTGATTCGTAGGCGACGGGCTGTAATCCTTCGCCAAAATCTTGTAGAAGAACTGCGTTGATGGCGATGTCGCTAGCGTCGGTGATGACTTCATATGGACGGTCAGGATCAGCGATGCGAAGGACGGGCGGCGAGTGTGACTTGGTGGCTTGTAGATAGCGGAGGACCCTCTTGGCTGCAGACCAATGCAAGGCTGTGTAGCATCCGGGGGAGACGTACCGAGAGAGGACACTAACCGGATAAGCCAAGTCTGGTCGAGTGCACATCATGGCATACATGAGTGAACCGACTAGCTCAGGGTACGGGTCCTTGCAGGTGTCAGGAGAAGGAACCGGAGGAGCCGTGAGCTGATGCTGTAGTGGGAGAGGAGTCAAGACAGGGTTACCGGAGTCCATGTCGAACCGCTTGAGAAGGTTGTCGATGTAGGACTCCTGGGAGAGGGTGATCGTGCAAGCCTGGCGGTCACGAGTGATCTCCATCCCCAGGTAGTTCTTGAGGTCACCAAGATCCTTCATGAGAAGGGCGGAGCTGAGAGCAGACTGGACAGCTGCCATCTCGGATGGATCTCTGGCGGCTAGAATGAAGTCGTCGACGTAGACGAGGATGTAGAAGGGCTCGGAGGAGTGACGAACAAAAAGACTCGAATCTGAGGCGGAGGGATGAAAGTCAAGTGCGAGGAAGAATTGTTGTGCCACTCACAAGGAGCTTGCTTGAGGCCATACACTGGGCGCTTCAGCTTCCACACTGTGTTGGCAGGATAAGTGCCACGAAACCCCGGTGGGCGTTCCATGTGAACATCCTCCTTGAGCTGGCCTTGGAGAAAAGCAGAGGAGGCGTCCATGGGCTTGATCTCGAAGTTGCCGCGAGCGGCTATATCAAGAAGAGCGCGCACAGTCAGGAGCTTGGCCGTGGGCGAGAATGTTTCGAAGAAGTCGGGATACTCCTTCTGGGTGAAACCCTTCGCCACGTATCGTGCCTTGAACAGTGGAGCTTCGCCTGGGAGTTGTTTGACTCGGAAGATCCATTTTCCGATGACGATGTTAACACCGGAAGGGGGAACGACATCGTCAAAGCTGTTGTTGCGAATGAACGCCTCGTTCTCCACATCCATTGCTGCCTTCCACTCCTTCTTATAAGGCCCCGAGAGAGCTTCCTCTTTTGTGCGAGGAGTCGGAATGGTCGGGTTCTCGGTGAAGTTGAGGGAAGGGCAGTCAGTAATGTCTGGGAAGATGTGAGAGATAAATTGGTAGATCGCGTAAAGGTCAAACATCTCCTCATGCCTGTCCTCCAGAAGTGCACGAGGGGGAATACGGATGGAGGGGACATCACCCCCAGTAGGAGCAGGCGGGGTGACCGAACACCGGATGGAGAAGGCGGCTGGTCCCCAGGCGAGAGGCAGAGCAGATCCCTTGGAATGAGTGTGACTAGAGACCGGAGACGACGATGGCTGCGGTGGGACCGGAGGGACTGGGCGCTTCCGGTAGGAGACTAGTGAGCCGGGCTTGACGCGTGGGGAAGGCAGAGTAGGAGGAGGTGCCGTTGCAGAGGATAACGGGGAGGCGGGGTGAGTCACGCCGGATGGAGAATGCCCTGGAGAAGGGGCAGCAGCCGGAGCTGGGGCATCGAAGTCTACCCATACAAGCGTCGGGGGAGGTGGACGAGGCTCGCCCGTGGTCGCAGAGTGGATGGGGCGTGTCTCATCGAAGACGACATCGCGGCTGCGAATCAGCTGTCTGGTGATGGGGTTGAGGAAGAAGTAGTCTGGGGAATCGGAGTTGTGCCCCAGGTACATGCAGGTCTGGGTTTTGGGACCAAGCTTGCCACCTTGCTTCCTGCGCGTGTAGGGGCTGAGCAACACATATGCGGTACACCTCCAGACGCGTAGAGAGCGGGCGGAGGGCGTGGCCCCAAGCCAGAGAGTGGTAGGTGTGGTGTCGGGCCGGTGGGGATGCAGATAAAGATTGTAGAGGAGTGCCGCATGGAAGAGGGCATATCCGCAGAGTGACCGTGGTGCGTTGGCGTGACTGAGGAGGCAGCGAGCGATTCGAACCAAGGTGGGGTTGCGGCTCTCTGCAATGCCATTCTGCTGCGGGCTTTCGGGGAGCGTGAACGTTTGCCAAATCCCTTGGGCCGCGCAGAAGTTATCAAGTTTGCCATTGCAAAATTCTCCCCCGCCATCAGAATGGAGGCACTTTAGAGGAGTGCCGAACGTGACTTGAGCCTGGCGCACCCATGCCATGATGACGTCAGGTGCCTCCGCCTTGGCGTGCAGGAGGTGCACGGAAACATACCGCGAATGGTCATCGACTAGTGTAAGAAAGTATCGATGACCGCCACGAGATGCGACTGGAGCTGGGCCCCAGACATCCATGTGCACTATGTCCAGCGGAGCAGCTGCGACGGATGGGGAGAAAAGGTGCGGCTGCTGTCTGAGCTTGCTTTTGGTGTAGTCCAGGCAGGTGGGTGCAGGTGAGTCTGTTGGTGGAGGAAGCGCAGACGGGAGGCCAAGAAGAAGTTTCTTGGAAGCGATGTCGGCAAGCGTACGGAAGTTGGGGTAACCCAAGCGATGATGGTAGAGGATCGTTGGGTTGGCGAAGCTGCGATAGGAACACGGAGTGGTGTTGGCGGTTTGCACTTGGGAGAGGGCGGCGAGAGGTGCAGGTGAACGCAGCGTGTAGAGCTTGGTGCTGTTGAGTGTGAAGCATGCCAAGAGCTTGTTGGACTTAGGGTCAAGGAGGTCACAGTGATCCGAGTGTGCTGGGAAGATTGTGGTGATGCCTGCCCGTTGGAGCTCGTATTGGGCCACGAGATTGTGGCGTAGTGTGGGAACACACATGCCGGTGACACTGCCCGAAAGGAAAAGTTGGGCACGGAAATGTGGAGGAGCCCTTGGCGTGTGTTGTGAAACTGGAGTCTGCTCCTAGTAGACAGATTGGTGTCTCGCATGGCTTGAAGGAGTGTTCTTCCTTGAGAACCGTATGAGTGGCCCCAATATCGAGGGTGAACTCTATTGTGGCTGAGGTGCTTTGTGAGCCGGGACACTGCGAAATTGTCTCATTAATCATGGCAGTGCCAGGGAACAACATGTTGAGGTGCACATCAGCAGGGGGAGCTATAGTAGCCTGCACGGATTCCTGCGCTTTGACTTGATTTACCTTGCGAGAAGCACGATTGACCATCCAGCTTGGCGGCTTCGAGGCGGTCCCATTGACGGCATACCACTCGTCATCCTTCTTCTCGTAGTAGGAGGCAAGGGCGTGGTTGGTGCTGCGACACACCTGGCCGGAACGAGGGCCGCGCTTGATGACGTAGGGACACGGGGGGAAGCGGTTGCGCTGGAATGGTGCCGAAGCGGCATAGGCTTGAGACACGGAAGCACATATTGCATTGGCCTTGGCTTGAGCGCTGTTGTCCTTTTCGGTAGAAAGGAGCGCAGATGAGACCTTGGCAAATGTGAGGTCTGCAGGAGCAAGGCCCAAGAGCATCTTGCGTGTGACTTCGTATGCTGGAGTTAGGCCGACTAGGAGAGCGGCTGCAGGGGATTGCTCGTGGAAGACTATCCCCAACTGCTTGAGTTCACCATAAATGGACTTGACCTTGGTGACATAGTCCGCCATGCTTGGCGAGTCCTCGAGCTGCACTTGGAACATGCTGGGGATGAGTATAGCAACTCCCACTGCAGTCTTGTTCAGGAAGCGGTCTTCGAGGTAGAGCCAAATGGCGTCGGCAGACGGGTAGTTGTGGTAGGTTTCGACGAGTTCGGAAGGAGTGGTGCCCATGAAAACACTAATAACCGTGCCATCGGCCTTCTCCCAATTCTTGTGCTTGAGTAGTGCAGCAGCATAAACTGCTTCGGCGGCGGCATTAGCTGGATCGGCGGACCTCTCGGGTTTAGGAGGCTCTTTGCCGTCACCAATGTTGAGAAGAATGTCGGTGAGCTGGAGCCCCTTCACTTCGCGACTGAGGAGGTGCTTGTCGACACCATAGCACCAAGCCTTGTAGTTGGAGCATGTGCCGTCCGGCTCGAGACGAAGGAGCGGGATCGGGTTGGCGAGTAAAGTGGTTGAGTAAGCCATGTTAGAAACAGAAATGTTGAGTTTATTGATCAAGCAAAGGCATTACATAGGAAGAGAGAGATGAGCTAGGAAGGGAAGGTTGGAAGGGAAGGGGGGGTTAGGACCAATCACAAGGGAGGGAGGATCCTTCCAAATGTGATTGACCACAAGTGGGAGGTGGCCCAGGTATGGTGGACCACAAGTGGCTTAGGCAACCCACTTGTGGTGCCCCCATAATTGTGGTCCTTGTGTTTGGGGGCTCCAACCACAATTGGGTTGGATTGACACCCCAACACAGGTGTACACCCAACTAGGGATGTAAACACAATATACACAACTAGCATAGCATGGTATATTCTAACACAACCCCATAGCATGCAAAGCTAGTGTATATATAATGGACAACCCCAGAATCAGGAAGGGGGGCGGGGCCCAAGGCCGAGAAGGCGGAGAAGGGCAGAGTGCGCGGTCTTCGGGAGGGCCTTGGTGAAGATGTCGGCCAAGTTGGCCTCTGCAGCGATCTTGCGGACCACCAAGTGACCTTGCTGGACCAACTCCCGAACGTAGAAGTAGCGGAGTGCAATGTGCTTGGAGCGGCCATGGAAGACAGGGTCCTTTGTGAGATGGATGGTGCTGGCGTTCTCGCACCAGAGGGTGGGACAGCGCTGAGGAGCACGGATCTCAGCAAGGAGGAAGGTGAGCCAGCGAGCCTCTTGAGCGGCCATGGTGCAAGCATAGAGCTCAGCCTCACAGGATGAGAGGGCGATGGAGGAGCGAGTGGAGCGCCAGCTGATGAGGCCGCTGCCAAGGGTGAAGCCGTAGCCTTGAGAGGAACGGCAATCCGGCTGGGAGTCAGCCCAGGAGGAGTCACTGAAGCCAGAGAGGAGGGGAGGAGAAGAGCCTCCGAGGGTGAGGACATAGTCCTTGGTACCACGGAGGTAGCGGAGTACCCGCTTCGCTGCAGCCAAGTGCTCATCAGTGTGACGACCGGTATTGACGAAGCGAGCAAGAACGCTGATGGGGTAGGCAAGGTCGGGGCGGGTGCACATCATAGCGTACATCAGCGAACCGATGAGCTCAGCGTAAGGATGGTCAGAGGAGGAGGGAGCAGGAGGAGGGGTAAGCTGGTGGTCAGTCTGCAGGGGAGTGGTAACCGGCTTGGCTTGCGCCATGTCGAACCGCTGCAAGACTTGGTCGATGTAGTAGGACTGAGAGAGGGTAATGGTGCGCGATGCGCTGTCGCGGGTGATGGTCATGCCCAGATAGTGCTTGAGCTCACCCAGGTCCTTGCACTTGAGGCGAGCATGCAGGGCGTCCTTCACTTGCTGCATGGCGGCAGCATCGTCAGCAAAAAGGATCATGTCGTCGACATACACCAGGATGAAGAAGCGGGTGGGAGAGGAGCGAAGGAAAAGGCTGGCATCAGACTGAGAGGCATGGAACCCCAGGGACTGCAGAGTGGCGGCCAGCTTGTTGTGCCACTCGCGAGGAGCCTGCTTGAGGCCATAAACCAGGGGGCGCAGTTCCCAGACTGTGTTGGGAGGGAAGGCTGCATGAAAGCCTGGAGGCCGCCGCAAGAGGACCCGCTCCTTGAGCTCGCCTTGCAGGAAGGCGTTGGAGACATCCATGGAGGCAATCTCCATGCCAATGCGAACAGCATAGTCGAGGATGGCACGGAGAGTTGGGAGCTTGGCAGTGGGAGAGAATGTCTCCCAGTAGTCGATGCCATGGGTCTGGGTGAAGCCCTTGGCACAATACCGGGCCTTGTAGACCGGCTCCTCACCCGGCAACTGCTTCACTCGGAACACCCAAAGGCCTTCAACAATGACGTCGTCAGGAGAGGGGACAATGTCAATGAATGAGGCATTGCGGATGAAGGCCTCACATTCAGCAAAGATAGCCTGGATCCACTAGGCAGCATCGGGGCAGGTGATGGCCTCAAGGAAGTTGGACGGGGTGAATATGGTGGGAGCGGTAGCGATGCCAAGGATGAGGAGGCCAAGGAAGCCCAGGTAGAGAGGCGTGAGGGAAGGTGTTTGTTGCTGAACGCCAATGAGCTCTTTATGGGAGCCCTCGATGAAGGGAAGGGAGGGTGGGGGTGGCGTTGGCCAACCCCATGGATGGCCTATGAGTGGGCCATGAGAGCGAGTGTGCATGCGTGGGAGGATAAACGGAGAGGTGGTGCGGCAATGCCGATGAGGTTGCTGCTGTGGTTGCTGCTGCTCCGGCTGCTGCTGCTGCTGCTGTTGCTGCTGCACCTCCTGCTGCGGCTGTTGTTGCTGCACTGCCTGTGGTTGCTGCTGCTGCTGCTGCTGCATCTCCTCCTGCTGCTGCTGCTGCTGCCACTGCTGCTCCATCCGCTGCTGCTGCTGTTGCTGCTGCTGCTGCTGCTGCTGCTGCTGCTGCTGCTGCTGCTGCTGCTGCTGCTGCTGCTGCTGCTGCTGCTGCTGCTGCTGCTGCTGCTGCTGCTGCTGCTGCTGCTGCTGCTGCTGCGGCTGCTGCTGCTGCACCTGCTGCTGCTGCTGCACCTGCTGCTGCTGCTGCTGGTGCTGGTGCGATGAGGCAGAGTGAGCAGGGGAGTCAGGGACAGCTGGGTCGTAAATGTCACCTGAGGAAGGAGGAGGGGGAGGAGCAGGATTTGGAGGAAGGAGGGGAGCCTGGGGAAGGAGTGGGGGAATGACAGCATCAGCCCAGGTGAGGGGGCGGGAGAGAGGAGGAAGTGGGTCGGAAGGCGGAACAGAATGATAGAACGGGATGCTCTCATCGAACACCACGTCACGGCTCGGTAGGAGGCGGCCTGAGGACGGGTGAAGGAAGAGGTAACCAGGGACAGAGCGAGCGTGGCCAAGGTAGACACACTCAATGGCCTTGGAGGCAAGCTTTCCTGCCTGCCTAGAGCGGTCAGGTGGGGGGATGAGGACATATGCCTTGCAACCCCAGATACGGAGAATGGCAGCATCTGGCTTGGTGCTAGCCCAGAGCTCTGTAGGAGTGACGGACTGGCGTTGAGGATGTGGGTAAAGATTAGTGAGGAGAGCAGTATGGACAAGGGCATAGCCCCAAAGAGAAGGGGGCGTGGAGGCATGAGTGAGGAGGCAGCGGGCCGTCTTGGTGATCTCACGAATGCGACTCTCAGCAACACCGTTCTGCTGAGGGGAGTGGGGAAGGGTATGAGTCTGCTGGATGCCATGGGTTGAGCAGTAGGAGGAGAGGGTGCGGTTGAGAAACTCACCACCGCCGTCGGAATGGAGGCGGCGGATGGGGCGACCAAAGTGGACACGACACTGCTCGGCCCAGGTAACGATGACAGCAGGGGCCTCGGCCTTTGTGTGGAGAAGGAACACCGAGGAGTACCTGCTGTGGTCGTCGACTAGGACAAGCATGTACCGGTGCCCTTGGCGGGAAGGGGAAGGGTTAGGGCCCCAGAGGTCCATGTGGACGAGGTCAAGGGGGGCAGCAGCAAAGGAAGGATGACTGAGGTGAGGTTGTTGTTTGAGCTTTCCATGAATGCATGTGGCGCACGGGGGAGCGGAAGAGGACGGGAGGGGAGGAAGAGTGGGGGGAAGACCGTCAAGCAAGCGGGAGGAGACGGCTTTACGAAGTGTGGAAAAGTTCATATGACCAAGGCGATGGTGGATGAGAACAGCGGGGTGGGACAGTGCGTGACAAGAGCATGGGGGGGAGGTGGAGTTGGAGGAAGGTGGCTCTGGAGGGAGGGGAGGGGGGAGAGTGGAGGTGCCTGCACGAGTGGTCACGTGGCATGAGGAGGGGCGCGGTGTGCTGAGGATGTACTGACGAGAGCGAGGGCAAAGTGGGAGGCGATAAAGGAGGCGATGAGTGGGGTCGTGGAGGAGGTCACAGTAGGTGGCAGAGGCGGGGAAGAGGGTAGTGATGCCAGCCTGTTGGAGTTCACGGATGGAGAGCAGGTTATGACGAAGGGAGGGAATGTGGAGACCAGTGACCACTCCGGAGGGGAAGGGGGGGCAGGGGAGGGTGGAGAGATGAGTGCAAGGGATGAAGAAGCTGGAATCAGCGCCATGAACGTTGGTGGGGAAAGGGAGGGAGGTGAGGGTGCCGGCGTCTTTGAGGGCAGTTTCAGTGGCACCACTATCGAGAACAAAGTCTATCGTGGGCGAGGAGGGAGCTGAAGACATGGGGTACTGGAAATCACTGGCATTAAAAATAGAGGGATACATGGAAGTGGAAGCAGGGGAAGAACGCATGAGCTCGCCTAGAAAGCTGGAGTGGGAGGTGGGAGCACTAGGGGAAGGAGAGCCCCAAAGGGGAAAGCCAGGAGGACCTGTTGTGGCTGTGGCAGCCATGGTGGCGGTGCCAAATCCAAGCTGCTGGTGCTGCCATTCAGATGCTGCGGCTGCGGCTCCTGCAGCTGCGGCTGCAGCCTGACCACCAGAGCCCCACTGCTGCGGCAGCTGCAGTGGCTGGTGCAGCTGCAGCTGCTGGAAGCGGCGAAACTGCTGCAGCTCCTGGGGAGTTATGGGGTCAGCGATAGAGGAGGAGGAGGAGGCGAGCTGAAGATGAGAGGGGAGGAAAGACGGAAGAGTTTTGACATCCTGGAGAGAGGGGCGGGGATCCATGGCAGACCAGCGTGGGGGTGTGCCAGTGTTGCCGCGCTCGAACCAGGCGTCATCATACGCTTTGAAGCAGGTCGTTGGGGGATGGTTGGTTTGGGTGCAGCGCTCACCCGCCCTGGGACCAAAACGGCGAAGATAGGAACATGGGGGGAGAGTGCCAGGGCGGCCACCACGGCTACCAGATGAGCCACCACTGCCACCACCACCACCACTGCTGCCACCCTCGACCCCGCAACCACCGCCGCCGGCTCAGTTGCCCCCACAACCGCCACCTCCACCCCCTCCCTGAGGGTTGGTGCGGCTGCCACGTGGGCGCCCTCCACGACGCGGCTGTGCAACTGCAAGCTGGGGGTTTGGGGACTCGGTGGAGTTCAAGCCGGAGGGGGGGGTTGAGAGAAGGCGGGCCTCAGCGTCAATGATCCACTGGACCACAGTGTCAAGGGAGGCACGGGGCTGAGCCTCAGTGAAGGCGATGACGCGCACTTCATACTGAGGGGAGAGGCCTTCGAGGAGACGGTAGATGTGGAGGTTGGAGGGGAGAGTAGTCTGGCGAGCCTCTAGGCAGGAGGCAAGGTCCAGGAGACGGCTGGTGTAGTCAACGGTGCCAGCACTATGTTCGATCGTAATGCTGAAGTATTCCTTGAAGAGCGGTCCGACAGCGTCGAAGTCGGTGCGTTCGAACATCGCCTCAAGCTCGAGCCAGATCTGGCGGGAGCCGATGCGACATGCCTGGAAGTTGCGCATGAGCGCAGGCGTGATGGCAAAGAGAAGGGCACCAGTAGCACGGCTGTCCGCCTCGAGCCAAGCGCGACGACGCTCGGCAAATTGCGCAGAGTCAGCGGCATAAGCGGCGGCGGTAGCGGCATGCTGGTTGCGGAGGGTGGCCGACCGCTCGTGTTCCTCCAAAGCGATCAGGTAATCAGTATGGAGCACGAGGAACTCACAACGCTGAGTAACGAAGAGCTGCTCAACCTCAGCGGTGGCAGCGCGAGTGCTGGTGCCAACGGGTACCACGGGGGGCAGAGGTTCCTCGCCGGGATGGGGAATGAGAGGGGGGGGATCACCAGGGTGAGGCAGCGGGTCCCCAAGGTCACCCTCTGGGAGACCAAGCATGATGTCCAGGAGGCGGAACGGCAGGACATATGCACTGATGAGGACGCGATGGAGGCTGCCGACGAAGGAATACCAGTTGGTTGCTGAGTTGTCGGCAGCGCGCACCAAATGATCGAGGATCGAAACGTCGACAGGAGGGGGAAAGGATGCCATTGGTGACACGGAGTGGGAGGAAGGCGACGGCGGGTGGACCCGCGGTGGCTGGGAGGGAGCGGCGGCGGGTGGACCCGCGGCGGCTCAAAGAGGAGGGGAGGATGGGGATGACTGTAGCTACTGCTGCTGCTCCCACTGCTGCTGCTGCTGCTGCTGCTGCTGCTGCCGCTGCTGCTGCTGCTGCCGCCGCTGCTGTTGCTGCTGCTGCTGCTGCTGCTGCTGCTCCTTCACTGCTGCTGCTGCTGCTGCTGCTGCTGCTGCTGCTGCTGCTGCTGCTGCTGCTGCTGCTGCTGCTGCTGCTGCTGCTGCTGCTGATGCTGCTGCTGCTGCGTCTGCTGCTCCTTCTGGTACTGCTGCTACTAGCTGATGGCAGTTAGCTGATGGGGAAAGATGGCAGTTAGCTGATGAAAGTAGGACTTGGTGGAAATTTCAGTAGCACTTCGTGATCACATCCAGGAAAGTGCGCGAACTTCGGAAAGCGATATCCGACAATCCAAGCGGTAAATCAGTCTGCAATTTTACGACGTAGTAGCTGACACCAAGAGCGTTCTTTTGCAAGTCGAATCACTCAATTTTGTCATTTAGCGAGAGAGCTATGGCGTTTGGCGCACTGGGGATGTTTGAAAATCCACCCAACAGAAAACTAGTTGTGAAGGGAAAGAGAGGCGGCGGCTAGGAGTCTAGCAGCGGCGATGGAGGAGACGGCAAAGAGATACACGTCGAAAGGGGATGGGGCGGAAGCGTGGGGAAGGATCAGGATTGAAAGTTGGCGTGAGCCATTATTGCTCTATACCATGTTAGAAACAGAAATGTTGAGTTTATTGATCAAGCAAAGGCATTACATAGGAAGAGAGAGATGAGCTAGGAAGGGAAGGTTGGAAGGGAAGGGGGGGTTAGGACCAATCACAAGGGAGGGAGGATCCTTCCAAATGTGGTTGACCACAAGTGGGAGGTGGTCCAAGTATGGTGGACCACAATTGGCTTAGGCAACCCACTTGTGGTGCCCCCATAATTGTGGTCCTTGTGTTTGGGGGCTCCAACCACAATTGGGTTGGATTGACACCCCAACACAGGTGTACACCCAACTAGGGATGTAAACACAATATACACAACTAGCATAGCATGGTATATTCTAACAAGCCATTCCCGTTTGATTTTCATGAGGCGACGCTCTTAAGTCACCGATAAGAACTTCGTTGCGCAGCGCGGCACTTTTGGAAATCGGTCGACGAGAATTGCTGAAAATCACTCCGTCGGCTTCGCTGAAATGCCGCCAAGAAGGAAATGGCGTCGGCGGGAATTTGTTTAAACACTGACTTGAAACTAAATCTGAGCCTAAGTCTAACCCTGGACCCACACACCCCCCCACACACCCCCAGGCCCTGTCCTGCAGCTATACAGCTCCGCAACCAGCTCCGCACTGCTTCCATATGTGTACGTGCTCTTGCTTGAGGCGAGACGTTCATGGAGGCGATTCCGCGAGGGGAGTTCGCCTATGCTGGCGGGGTCCGAGAGGAAACTCGAAATCGAGTTTTAAGCGATGGTCGAAATTGAGATTCGACCAAGGAGAACCGAGGAGGAAATCGACGACGAGAAGCGTGAAAGCTTCAGAGATGAGAAATTCAACGAGGTCGAGCGCGAAGGTGGTCGACGATGAGAAGCGCGACTGCAGAGTGGAGCACGTCGAAATTTCTGACGACTCGAGATGAATGTCGCGACGACGAGGTGCGCGTAGCGCTGGCACGTTAAGATTAGGACCTTGATCCGCGTGTGCGGATAGGTCGCTCTGATACCATGTAAGAAATAGAGTTGAAATGATTGATTAGGTAAGGAGCCCAAGGCTCTATAAGTACATGGCAAGGTGAGAGAGAATGGATGAAGGGGGAATCGGAGGGAATCCCCATTGGGATCTCCGGAATCTCCAATTGGGTAATTGGAGATTGGGGAGATCACAATTGGGTGAGGTTGGGATTTTGTGAGTACACCCCAACCCACTAGAACATTCCTAACCTAAACTAGGATATAAAAGTACAAATGCAAAAGTAGGATTTGCAATCTATTTCTAACAGAGGTCACAGAAGACGTCCACGCCGAGATGGATGTAGTCAGGTGCAAAAACCCCTTCTATGAGGAAGAGTACATCGAGCCGACCATGGAAGCCGGCAATGATGAGCCCCATGTGGAGGCCGAGCTCAATGGTCCTGGAGGCAAGGGCGTCAGAATCAGCCTTTATCGTGTCCCCCGAAGAAGCCACCATAACAGCAGCAGCAAAAGCAACACCAGCATCTGCATCAACTGAAGCAAAAGTTGTGGCCACCAGTGATGATGTTGGCGATGGCAAAGAGATGATGCCAGTGGCGGAAGTGCTTGTAGGCCTCGCTGTGTGCTGCTGGACTGATGACTTTGACTGGGATGACATTGCTTGCGATGATGTCGATGCGGAGGTTTGGCATGCTGAAGATGGCAATGATGACGATAGTTGTCGTAGGGTGACTACTAACTACCATGCGCCGCTAGTTATAGTAGGTTAAGACTAGTTGTTTAGACTAGTTGTTCTAGTTGCTCTACATTAGAGCTTTAGATGCATATGTAGTGGCTACACTAACTGGAATCAATGCAGAAATTAATCTAATGGTTCAGCTTTAGTGAAAACTGGCTCCATCACGCTAAACAAGGAGGTTCGTATGTACACTGGCGGAACTTATTGTCCACATGTTTGTGACTTTGAGGAATTTTGCCATTTTAGGGGGTCATGGACATTAAGCCTTAATCTTTTGGAGTGCCTAGTGTATTTAGGTTGGGGTAAGGCTCTACGCCCATGCCTCACATCTCACAAAGGTATTGATCTTTACAACAAATAACAGAAATTAACAATCATGGTACATGCGGACAATTATTGCCAGGCGCAAGCAGC